CTTTCAAGAGAAAAGCTGACCTTTGCCAATAGCCTCTCCCATATATACACCATCAATGCCTGACCCTCTCACCCTTCATCATAATTTCCTGACAAAACCTCAATCTTGGTTAAACCTGTTTTAGGAGATGAACATTGGTAGAAAATACACATGAACAAAATAACTAGTCTCACTTTAAATGAAGGGCCACTGTCTGTCTTCAAGTGGAGCCTTGGTTCTGCTGGGCAACTGCACTGCATTCCCCTTGTCCACTCACTCTGTCACCAGATTGGATGATTAAATTGCTTAACCACAACTTTCTGCTTCTCAGACTCTAACATCTCTCTCTCTCCTCTTTCACTCTCAGCCAAAGACCTTGCTTCCCACTTGACTATGAAAACGGAAGCAATTAGAAGAGTGTTTTCATGAGCTTTCACAGTCTGAGCAACAAGCCAGGTTTCAGTATACCCATATACTGTAACATTCTTCCTATTAGTGTGAATGAACAGCATTCCTATATAAGGCCAGTATTCACACCTGTGTACGTCATCCTATTGTCACCCTGTTCCCCTGTTCATAAACATACACTGTCAAATACCTGTCCCCGTCTGCATTATCTTTTAAAATTATAGCTCATAAGGACAGCTTTTTAAGTGAAATGGGAGGATTTCTAGTGACTGAGAGTTGAGAAGGACAGTAATTCCAATAACTTTGAACCCCCCCACAACATACTCTGAGGAAAACAATGGCGTAGCACTCGTGCAAAAATCCCTAGCATTCTCTGATCCCATGCCAACTCTGTCTCTGTTCTTCTCTTTTCTCTTTTCTTTTCTTTTTTGTCTCTGTTCTTCACTAGCAATTAAAACTCTGCAAAATCATAGACACCTCGGGGTGTCTGGGTGGCTCAGTTGGTTAATCGTCTGAATCTTGGTTGTGGCTCAGGTCATGATCTCAGAGTTGTGAGAGATCAAGCCCTGGGATGGGTGCCATGCTCAATGCAGAGTCTAAATGGATTCTCTCCCTCTCCCTGTGTCCCTCACCCACCCCCACTCATGTGCATGCTCTCTTTCTCTCAAATAAATAAATAAATCTTTAAAAAATCATAGGTACCTCTGAGATTTCATTAGCAGAGACTGAAGAAATGTACAGGCTGGTGGGAGGTTATGCATCCTCTCCCACAAAATATTGTTTACAGTCAAATAAATAATTAGTACTGGGAACTTATTTGTCAAACACTTCTGAGATTCAACTCTTGGTATTTTTAAAACAAAATTTTTTTTTAAGATTTTATTTATTCATTTTAGAGAGATAGAGAGAGCACAGAGGGAGAATGAGAGGGAGACATGGACTCCTCACCTAGCAAGGAGCCCAGTGTGTGACCATCCCAGGACTCTGGGATCATGACCTGAGTCAAAGGCAGATGCCCAGCCAACTGAGTCACGCAGGTGTCCCTAAAAATTATTTTTAATTGAAGTATATCTTTTCGTTTTCTTTTAGTCATGCTGCATAGGAGGTAAATTCTTTCTGAGGAGATCTTTATTTCATGCACATTTAACTGAGTATAGAATTTGAAATTGACTATTTTGTCTCAGCACTTTGACATTATTTGATTATTTATGACAACATTTGGCTAACTGTTAAACCTTAGTTTATAGCTCATATTTTCTGTTTTGTTGTTTTTTTAGTATTTCCCTCTCTCCACTCTCCTTCTTGATCATGTTTTGAAAACTCACCACAAAAAAGTTAGTTGTTGGAATTTTTTTTTTCTTTTCTTTTCTTCTTCTTCTTCTTCTTCTTTTTAATCTGAGGGCTCATATCTTCAACTCTGGAAAATTTTCATCCAACTTGTTTTTGAAAATTCCTCTTATTTATTCCCTTTACTTTCCTTACTATAAAATGCCTAGTAGATATGTGCTGGAAACATCATTCTGTCTTTCATGTCTTTTAATTTGTCTTTAATATTTTTCTATCCTGTTCTGTCTTTACACTAAATCTTATATAATTTCTTCAGTTACATTTCTGGTTTATTGATTTTCTCCTCAGCCGTGCCTAGTCTGCTTCAAAACTTATCCATTAAATTCTTAATCTTAACTATTTTTAGTCCCTTTAAATATCTGCAAGTTCTAACGAGTTATTTCCCTATTAGTCTTCCTTGTCATTGCTTCCTGTTCTATTATTTATTATTCCTATGTAATTTATATTACTTCTTTAGTACTAATAGTCTCATTTTGTTCACCTGTTGATTCTCTTTCATGATGGACATTTTTTTAAAAAGATTTTATTTATTTGAGAGAGTGGGAGCACAAGACAGCACAAGTAGGAGGAGGGGGAGAGGGAGAAGCTGACTCCCAACTGAGCAGGGAGACCAACAGGGGCCTCAATCCCAGGACCCTGGGATCAGGACCTGAGCTGAAGGCAGATGCTTAACTGAGTCACCCAGGTGCCCCATTCCGTGGTGTACTTTTCTTTATGAGTTTAGTTGCTGGAAGGAATATTTCTTTAACTCTGTTGCCTTGTGCCCTGAATCCTGGACATATCTCTGTAGAATTGTTTTCATCTTCTCTGTGGGCCTCCAGATTAATAGTAATAATAAGAGGGGCTCCAGATTAATAGTAATAGTAAGAGAAGGAGGAGGAAAAGAGGAAGGAGGAGAAAAAATAGGAGGAGTAGGATTATTAGCAGCAAGTTACATTTTTTGAGTTTTGATGATTTTCCAGGCATTGTTTTATGAACTTTACTTATATTAATGGATTTAATCTCCACAGTAACCATACATACATACATACACAGTTATAATCTCCATTTTAAGGTGGGGGGTTTTAAATAGATTGTGCAAAGTCACACAGCTGGTACATGGCAGAGCTAGAATTCAAACCCAAGTTTGGCTCCAGATTGCAACTAACTGCTATGATATTTGCTGTGTTTCTAGATGTGTTACTATGCAGGAAGAAGAAATTAAGATCCTTTTCCTATGTCCTATATCTGGCATGTTCTACATATGCTCATGCTTTTCATTACTATGGTGGATATATATTTTTTAAGCCAGAGATTGGGTAAAGAATATACATCCTTCCTCTTCCTTGGGGAAGTCAGTAGTTTTAATAGTTTCTATTCCTTAACACAGAGCAGTCCTGTCAATTTTCTGGATTCATGTAGAGATATGAAATCCAGCTTCATAATCCATCAAGTCTAGGTCATAGAGTTATTGAAACACCTCTTTGAACAGCTGATTGCTGACATAACCATTGATAGTTCTGGCTTTAATTTCTCTTTTCATTTTTAATACCTAAGGATATTCCTTCCTTTCTCTTTATTTCTTCCATTGTTTCTTGGTTTATTTTCTTTACCCTTTTCTTATTTCTTTTTAAGATTTGGTTAAATAGGGGTGCATGGGTGGCTCAGTGGGTTGGGCCTCTGCCTTCGGCTCAGGTCATGATCTCAGGGTCCTGAGATCGAGCCCTGCATCATGCTTTCTGCTCAGGAGGGAGTCTGCTTCCCTCTCTCCCTCTGTCTACCTCTCTGGCTACTTGTGATCTCTCTCTCTGTGTTAAATAAATAAAAATTTTAAAAAATTAAAGAAAGGATTTGGTTAAATATTTAAACTCCTTTTTTCCCCTTTTCTCTCTCTCTTTTTTTTTTTTTTTTTTTTTGATATATTTTACTCACCATTTCAATGTACTTCTAGCCAGAGTTTGGAAACTTCATCTTATTACGTTACTGTTTATGGGGAAATCTTCAGGCTTTAATAAAGAAAATGACCTTCCAAGTAAAAACAAGTCAGAGTAAATAAGTCAAGAAAGAGGAACAAAAGGCATATATAAGAAACAATGATAAAAAGTAAAACTAATAAAATATCTAAATAATTATTGATATTGCATTTGTGCATTTTAATGCAATTGTAAACCAAATGAAAATTCCTAAAATAGATTTCTCAAATAAAGTACATAGGATCTAAAACAACAACAAAATTAATAAAAATCTAAACTATATTCCAGGTAATTTAAAAGGAAAAAAATTTTTGTTTAGATCATTGACCTATTATTGATACAAAATTTTAACAGTGTTTTTGACCTCAGGACTTTTAGGACATCTTTATTGCCTTTAGGACATCTTTATTACCTTTGTTTTTGCCAATTTTTCATGTAAAAGACATGTAACAGTTCACTGTTGACTCTTTTTAAAAATAGAACTAATTACCGAGGAGAGAAATATACATATATAATACCATGGCTTAATTAAAAAAAAAAATTATCCTCTTTTTTTTTTTTTTTTTTTTCAGAACAACTGTCAGCTTTATGATTATTAACATCTGTGGTTTGGGAGCCATGTCAAATATTTGAGATTTCCCAATTCATGGACTTTGGCTTCCTGTTTTGCCATTTACTTTGGCAGGTCAAGAAAAGTTTGCAATTCTTTACAGAGAGAGATAGACTATATGATGGCAGTTGGACAAATTTTATTTTTTCCCCAGTCTTCATGCATAAAAAATTGACCTGAATCTTTTTATATATTTTTTAGTCCTTGGCAGTCTTACTTTTATTTTGTTCGTATGCTTTCTGAAATCCTGCATCCACCATGAGCAGAAAAGAGAGAAAGGAATTTGTTCATAATTATTCATTTGTCCAAATTGTTTCTCCGAAGCGGACTATGAGTTGCTTAGCTTTATTAGGGGGGAAAAAAGTCAGCTTCAGCACATTCTGCCCATTCAGGACCAATTAGTCAAATACATCATTAGCAGTTGTGTTTAGGCATTAGCAGCAAAAAAAAAAAAAAAAAAAAAAAAGCTAAATATAGATTTCACATACACATTTAACTACTTTGGTTAGTGATTGTTTTTACTTGTTTATTGCTCTTTTCCCATCTTGGTCTCATCATGTCCAAAAGGCTAGTTCCATTTTCCTTGTTTACCATTTTACCCCTTATCCCTGAAGTTGAAAGGCCAAGTGCACAAACACAGGACTTTTTTTTTATTCCCAACCAACCACTGAACCATCATTTCCCTGCAAATAATTGGCTTAGGGAAGAAAAGGCAGAAAACAAAACAAGTTCATCATGTGCAGCTTGGTCTGACTACACCCCCTTTCAGAAAGCAGCCTGGGTAAGACACCCATCTAAGGAATAAATGAAGAAGTAGCAATAAGGAAATTTTAATTGTTCCTGTACACAAAAAGAGAACTGTGCGTTGACAGTGTTTCCAGAGTACTTTCCTAATTTTTCTGACAGTAAGTAAAGTTCCATTTTGTTGTGCTATGCCAAATATGTGGGGGGACACTGCTAGAAATCAGTCTATTTTTCAGAGGTTTCCAAACACTCATATGTATTATATTCTTCAATATAAGACCTAATGATAAAGTTTTTCTCTTTTTTCCCCACTGACTTTTATTGTGTAGATACAACAGCAGAATATAGGAAAATAGTAAAATTTGCTTCTCTACTAGCTGGGGAAGAATTGTCTGAATATTGTTATGCAAATCTAAAATAATTTAATTCTGAATATTAGAAAAACTGAAAAAAATAATCTCTGTTTGCAAACATTTGGGCAAAATTACTTTCCATGTGATGCCTGTCTTTCTTCTTTCCTGCTTTCTTGCTTTCTTCTTACTTGGTCATTTTTCCTCAGTTATTTAGGTCCTTCTGAATTCAGAAAATTGATATGAGTTGGGTTTTTTGGTGTCTCACAATCAAGTTTCAGCTAGTTTGAGTCTGGATTCAGCTAGTTGAGACTAGAGCTGTTCAGTTTAATCTGGAAGGTAGTACTATAGGAGAACAGTTCACTGAGGTTACATCTAATGGACATAATTAATTATTCACATGAATTTAATTAATCAGAATGTTGATTAATTTGGTTGGCTCTGGCATTTCTATTTAAATACAAAGAACAAAAATTTATTATTAATCAGATGAGAAATGATTCAATTACTCTATTCATATAGTTGAATTTCTGTTATAAAAGGTAAGAAAATGTGAAGAATCTTATAGGTTTTAAAATCTAATGATATATTTTCCATTGTTGGACTCAGTATTTCTGTAAAAATTGTAAGACTGGCCACTATCTCCCCACCATTACCCACTCTCCCAAACAGCTTACTATGAGTAAAATTTTGCAGTCATGTGGTATTAAAATAATATTTTAAATACATTTTTTTGTTGTTCTTAAAGGTAGGGAATGTTTTCCCCCAAAATATGATCAAGATTTTTCTTTTCTTCCCCACTCTCCAAGGTTTTTCTTATTACATTTATTTGTCTAGTTTATGTTCTACCTTGTTTACCTTTTCCTTGTTTTTAAATGATAGGCTAAATGCATATGAAACAGAAAAGTGTGTATCAGCAAACTCAAGCACTTCTGTACAAGAATTTTCTTCAGAAATGGAGAATGAAAAGAGAGAGTTTATTGGTATGTTTGAAAGTGTGCCTCTTTCTGCAGCTCACATCATTCTTCTATTTTACTGTCAAATGATGCTCTTATTTTATATTTTAAGTAGCAGACTGGATTTATTGTTTTTAAGGTTATCTCCCATTGTACAAGTTGAACCAAGAGACTCATAGCAGTCCATGAAACATAATGTAAAATTGCAAAAACTAAAAATATTACTCACTTTTTTTAAAGAATAAGTGAAAATTTAATTGTATGGTAAATTATAGCAACTATTAAAGCTGCTACCATATGTAATAAAGTTAGAGTAAGGAAATAATAAAAAGGATGGCTGACAGTCCGACAAATTTTAATTTGGGGGACTTATTTTCAAAACCATGGATTTTATACACAGAGATTATTTCCAAGAATTATGACCAAGTAACACCACTGATGGTTAGTTCGCATTAGGTAGGTAGGCTTTCTACAGGTAATAACCCCAGATCTCAGGGGCTGAGCTCAGCAAAAATTTATTTTTCTCTCTGCTCATAGTCTAAATAAGGTTGGCAGTGAAACTGAAGTAGGTCTGGTAGGTGAAGGAGTCTCCTCCACACAGCCATTTAGGGACCCAGCCTTCTTCACGCAGGGACACTGCCATCTCCCCCAGGCCTTAGAGACCTCCCCTGGATACTCTGCATCCAGTCAGGTGGCCTGAAGTATGGGGGGATCTGGGTGGCTCAGTCGTTTGAATGTCTGACTCTTGATTTCAGTTCAGGTCATGATCTCAGGGTCATAGGATTGAGCCCCTAGTGGGCTCTGTGCTCGGTGGATACCCTGCTTAAGGGTCTCTCCCTCTCTCTTTCTTACTCGCCCTCTCCTCCACTCTCCATTAGTCCCTCCCCACCCCCACATTCTCTCTCTAAAATAAATACATAAATCTTAAAAAAAAAAATCAGGAAGTACAGGGACTGAGATAGAATATAGAAGGTTGTGCATGGTTCCTTGAGCCAGGCCTTGAAGGGGTGCATAGCCTTTCTGCCCACATTCCATTGGCCTGCCTAATTTCCAGAGGCTGGGAATGCTGTCTAGCATTGTGCTAAGCTGGAAGAGATTACCGATATTGGTGAGTTAATAGGCAGTCTCTCCCACTCAGTTTCTTTTCATGTTCTTTGATTTTCAATAGAAGAATGTGACAACTGACAAAAATGTTGCTATTTGCCACCATGAATTCTGTCTGGGATAGTCTGTGTCTTATAGACTGTAAAGTCAGATGCCCATGCCTAAGAATTGCCATCGTTTTAGTCACTCTGTTAGTTTCTGTGATAGCATCTGCGGTAGTTCATGATTTAATGCAAATTTTAGTTCTAGTTTTGGGCAATAATATACATGGCAATGATCTCAGTATGCATCTTTTGTTGGGTTCCCTTTGCTCTGAAAAGCAGAGAACGAAGTGGCAAATTGGAATTTGTCTTCAACAGTTCTTTGGTATTGACTGAACTTTTTAAGGGAATATAATCTGAATTCATTCTTTTTTCCTCTGTTATAGGAATGGGCACTCCCAATACTTCTAGGGCTGTACATGGGACTATTTTCACATTTCAGAGAAAATATGTATTTTCCTGAATTGTCTCCTCAAGATCTGGGAAGGGCAGATCATATTAATAACTCTATAGCTATTGTATACACACCTGTCTCTGATCTAACCCAGGAGGTAATGAATAAAACAGCATTTGCACTTTTGAAAGGTAGGTGTACTAATGGCAATAAAGAATTACTGACATTATTTTATATCTTTTTTGATACAATGTAACTGTGTTTAATTTGAACTTACAGTGATTTATTATGCAAATTATTTAGGTATCATGATTAGCTTTTTCTTTCTCTCATAACAAGTAGCCTTGTAAACCCTTTCTGCTTAGTGGGACTCCAGTTTAGGGAGTTCTACATTTCTACTGGAATTTACCTAAAACAATAAATTTATAATTTCAGATTTGTAGCATAGTGTCTAGGAGAACACATCATTTGTGAGTGCAGATGTTCTTAACATGGAAAATCAGTGATTAAGATTGATAACTCAGGAAAAAACATCTAAGTAAAAGAAATGAAGTCATGGTTATTAAACAGTAATTTCAGAACCATGAACAGTAAAGATGGATAATCTCAAGATATCCTGTCCGCATTTGGTATACTTTATAAACATCTTTAAAGACTTTCATTCTAAATGAAGTCACTATGTAACTGAGATAACTATGGTAAAATGTGTATTTCACTCATGGGCAAGTGGGTGCAGTTTGGCTGTCTACTCTCTAATCCTTGATTCCTAACAGGTAACATTGCTGGCTGTTAGGGTCACTGTGCATGCGGTCTTAGTTTCCTCACAAGGCAAAGCTCAGATGAGGTGTCTTTGCTTCAGGAAATCTGACATCTGAAATCCCTTGACTGTATAATAACTTCTCCAATTACCTCTATTTTTGTATCCCAATTCTCCAACACATACTTACCCTAGTGTCATATTTTTATAGACCTGAAACTTGTCATAATACTTGCCATTATTAAAAGAAAACACTAAATTCTCATGCATGTCTCCTGATTCTATAATCTAAAACACTAAAAAGAAAAAAAAACAAAACAAAAAAGCACCTGCTTGTCTTTAGGGATCAGTTTAATTTAAATGGAAAATGATTTTAGTTTAATTCCAGTGAAAAATATTTGATGACACAGTTGGATATCACATCCCATTGTGGTGAAACTCTGTATAACCCTTCATGTCTATTTTCACCTTGTCATTCACAGAAAGAAGGATCATTGGAGTACCGAACCAAAAATCCATGGATAAAATACTTCTAGACAATATCACAGGCATCGCGGGAATTGTCTTCAATGACACTTTCTCTTATAAGTTAAAATTTTTTCAGGGATATTACATTCCATTTTTGAAGGAAGATCTTTTCGCAGGTGACTTTCCATATAAAATGGCACTTTTCATGTTTTTAACATAAGGGATAGGTCAGGATGGGCAACAGAGATGTTTTTGAGAGAACATGAGAAAATAGAGAAAGCACATTTTATTGCTAAACTTATTCCAAGGTCAGTCCTATCTTCCCACTAGAAGATGACTCTTAAAACATTATTGAATCATCTAATGTAAAGTGAATGCGTAGGTGAAAGTTACAGAGAGTGATGAAGACTGAGAGATCCTAGCCTCAGCTGAAGTTCAGGTTCGCAGGAAAGGCAGGCATTGAACAGTAATGACAAGTGCAAGAAAAAGGTGCTGAGGGCAGGAGACTTAGACCTGATGTTCCTCATAGGCTGTGGGATTAGAGAAGTCCTGCCTGGCAAAGTGAGGTTTCAACTAATGAGAAGGAATAGCACATAGGGGGAGGGTGCTAAAGGCAGTGTATTTCAGAGAGAGGAAGTGCTGGTGTCAAAGGCTTGGGGTGACAACAGGCATCTGTTAGTATATTTGGAAGAAGAGCTGTTTAGCTGAACAGAGAACACGAACAGGAATGGGGCTGAAGTTACCCCAGGCCAGATCTTGTGATGTCCTGCAAAGCTAGGGTGATGGAGGGCTGTGGTGGTTCTTTAATCAGGGCAGAGAAGTGATAACTCCTCCCAGGCCTATGGGAGCTCTCTGGATATAGCCCAAAGAATGGATTACAGAGGGGTGAGGGAGAATGCAAGGAAACATACCAGGGAGCCAATGGCGGCTTGGACCAGCGTGGAGGCAGCTGAGGAGAGGGAATGGTTTTGAGGACCTTTTTGGAAGCAGAATTGATATGGCTAATAGAGTTGGTTGTTTTCCATTCATTCACTGGGTGTCTACTCTGTGTCCTGCACTGTTCTGGCCCTGAGGATGGAAGTGACTGAAACATAGAGCCTGCTTGCCTGAATTGCTCCAGTGAGGGACAGGGGGTGGGGCAAAAACAATGCCCTCTGCCAGGGTTTGATACAACCACCACGTAAAATAGAGCAGGCTTAGAAGACAGAGCCTGAACGCTCTTTTAGATGTTGTTACTTATGGTAGCCAGGAAAGACTTCTGTGCCGAATTTGCTTCTGAGAAGAGATAAGGGTAGAGGGAAAGAGTGAGCCATGGATCCATCTGTAGGGAGAACATATGAGCAAAACAGGTTGTAGCGTTAGGGTACATTTAGCATTTTGAGACAGAGCAAGGAATCTAACATGGTTGGAGCAGAGTGTTTGCTTTCATCGTCTTTTTATTTTCTAAGACTTTTATGGAAGCTACGGTCTCCGTGAACAAAGTTGCCTCTGTAAGAATTTTCATTTGCTCCTCTTTTTTTCTATGTGGCTGTAAGTTCTGACTGGTGGAGCCTCCTCTAGACTGATTTCTCTTGGACTCTTATTTTTTATTCTTGAATTGCTTTCACCTGATAATGTTGGTTATGCTCTTCTTTGGGCTCGTAGCTCATTGCTGGAATCTGGATGATGATGAGCATTCCTGTTCTCTGTCCAAATACTGGAGTAGTGGATTTGTGGCTTTACAAGCCGCAATTAATGCTGCTATTATACAGGTAACGAAAGTTCTAAAGTTAATGTAAGCTAATTCCATAGGCATCCAGGTTGTGATGAAAGATGACATGTATTCAGGTTTTCCTGTTTATATAATGAAATTGAGGCACCTGGGTGGCTCAGTTGGTTAAGCGGCTGCTTTCGACTCATGTCACGATCCGGGAGTCCCGGGATCCAGTTCCGCATCGGGCCCCCAGCTCCGTGGGGAGTCTGCTTCTCCCTCCGACCTTCTTCCCTCTCACGCTCTCACTCTCTCCCTCAAATAAATAAATAAAATTTTTAAACAAAACAAAACAAAAAACATATGCTGAAATTGGATTTAGGCAAAGGAACACATTGTTTTTGTTTTTAACTTTAAATTTTCAAGTAGTTCCAGAATGACAAGAAATTTCAGAAACAATGTGCAGGGAGGTCCCTGTACCCTTCACACAGTGTCTCTTGTTATATCTTGCATAACCACGGAATAATATTAAAATCGGGAAATTGATATTGCTATAATCTCCATAGCTTAATCAGATTTCACCAGTTTCTATTTTTTAAATAACGATTTTGCTTGTTTAAACCCTACTGTAGATCACAACAAATCATTCTGTGGTGGAAGAGTTGATGTCAATTACTGCTGTAAATATGAAGACTTTACCTTTTATGTATAAAGACGTTCTTCAAAAGGAGCTGTTTATTTTCTACTGCCTGCTTTACTTTTTCCCGTTTATATATTTTGTATCACTCAATGTTACAAAAGAGAGAAAAAAGTGCAAGGATTTTATGAAAATAATGGGTCTGCAAGAATCAGCCTTCTGGTGAGTGTAAATGAATAATCAGAAATTTGGAAGCAGTAAAAATGTGTTATTATTTCACAACATTACAGTTAAGCTTGACACATTGGCTATTTTTTCTTTTGTGCTGATTTTTTGATTTACTCCTTTTAAAATTTTGTTATGCAAAATAGCGATTATGATTTGCTGAGCACTTTTCCCACGCCAAAGTATGTTACGCTAATGCTATGATCGAGGTTCCAGGAAGATCAAAGAGGGTAAAAGAGTTGCCCAATATCAAATGGAAGATGTGTTCCAGAGCTGGGACTCCAACCCAGCTGCCCGGATTGCAACTCTCCTGCTTGGTCTGCCCACAGTTATCATTTGATTTCTCCACACATCCTCACGTTGAAAAAGTATGACCCTGTAATGGCTAGCTTATGTTCAGAGGTTTGGTCATGAGGGATATATATATTTTTTAAGATTTTGTTTATTTATTTGACAGACAGAGATCACAAATAGGCAGAGAGACAGGCAGAGAGAAGGGAGGGGAAGCAGGCTCCCTGCTGAGCAGAGAGCCCCATGCAGGGCTCAATCCCAGGACTCTGGGATTACGACCCAAAACGAAGGCAGAGGGTTTAACCCACTGAGCCACCCAGGTGCCCCATGAGGGATGTATTTTTTGCAGCACTTAAATGCCGTATGTTGAAAATGTGGCCAGCACATACAGCACTTAGGATGGCATATAAGAATGGCTTAATAAGAACATTTGCTTCCTATATTGTTATATTTGTATCTTGCTTCATTCACAAATGATTTCAATGATTTTTAAATATACTTAAACATATGCATATTTATGTATATATCTGTCTACACGTATTTTTATTACAATAAAAACAAGTAATTGAGGAGTAGAAACAAGGACCTAACAAAATGATAAGTAGGTAAGACTAGCAGGTAAAAATGCAGATCATGTGAGCTCTAAGCTTCCAAGAGGCCAAGCAGAGAATTCTGCAATGCAATCAGTTACAAAATCCATGTTATCTAGGAAAAGGAAAAAAAAATGAAAAATAATCTGTTTATTTTACCCCCAAAGAAGCTGAACATTTTCAACATTGAATCCTAGACGATATTTCTTTGTATAGTACCCATATCAAGAAAAATAGTGTTTGTGGGGCACCTGGGTGGCTCAGTGGGTTAAAGCCTCTACTTTCAGCTCAGGTCATGATCCCAGGATCCTGGGATCAAGTCTCACTTTGGGCTCTCTGCTCAGCAGGGAGCCTGCTTCCCTTCCTCTCTCACTGCCTGCCTCTCTGCCTACTTGTGATCTCTGTCAAATAAATAAATAAAATCTTTAAAAAAAAAAAAAAGAAAGAAAATTAATGCTTATGAATGTGGAGTCGACTATCTGGAATGGATAAGGAACTATTTGCAAGCCACATGTTCTCTGAAATAAAATTACGGTCTAGGAAATTTTAAATTTTCTATAAAGTGTATTTGGTTAAATGAGGGAGTTTTGATTCTATTATACCGTAATCATGAAGTAGAAAAAAGAGGAAACATTTTCTGAAATGAAAAAGGAAGGAGAAAATTGGTCTGCAGTGGAACTTTGGCAAATGCAAAGGAATGAATGGAGTCTGTTAGGAAGAAAAAACGGGGGGGGGGGGCAGGAAATCTGTGTAAAGAGGACTATTTTTCAGTCCAGTGAATATCCTATGGGGCAGCATCCTTGCAGTCTCCTGAGAATAGGTAGGCACAAGTCAACTCTAGATTAAAATCACAAAGATATTGGATATTTAGATGTAGGTTCATTCTCAGGATAAATACTTTCTCCTATGCATGTAACCTAAATTTAGCAAAATGAATTTATATGTCCTTAAAACCAAGAGGGAAAAAAATCTGAAATATTTTTATTAAGTATAGGCTGTCTATTGGAAATAAATTTTATGGCAGCCTTTTTTAAAGTAATGTAATAAATGTGAAGTGCATGAGAATTTCTGAGTTACTTTGTTAAATTACTTTATGTGATGTCTGAATTACTGTGTTTTTATCATGAAGGTTTTTATTGCTTTATTAACATCTTCCTCTACCCCACACTCTGCAATGAGTTCCCTTTTCTAGGTAATGTTTTAAGTTCCTTTATGTGTTAATTCTCCTACTCCATAGATTTTCAATTCCTACCTATAGTAGTTCCCTTCTGTATTCAGGAAGTGGATTCTGCAGAATGCCATATGCTTTCCAAAAATGCTGATGTTTCAAACAAAGCCTGAATCATTGTAATGACATGACCTTTAAAAAGAAGTTGAATAAGCAATAATTAAACCTGTTGTACTGGGACATGTTGATGCAAGTTCCTGGTTTTAATAGTCTCGCTATGTTTTTCAGCTGTTGAATTCTCATTTAGTTAGGCAATTTTATGTAGAGGAAGGAGCTGTGAACTAGGAAGGGCTGCAACAAATCTTAATTTTGTTATTGATATACTTTGTTGACCCTGAAAAGGCCCATTAAGTATAATAGGAACTACAGTTTACTTATCTGGAAAATGAGAGGCTTGGACTCAAACACCCTGCAGGCTTGTTAGATCCAAGACTGAATACTATTTCTTAATAACTACCTCATAAACATGTGAACACCAGCACATCTAAACCAAAGCAGTGTGAACACTGAAGGGCATACCATTATTTATATTAGTTTAAGAAAAATCATAAATAAGAATAGCAATAATAGGATGGGCTTTATGGAGTTATAAAATTTCAATTTTCTACTATTAGGGAGAGTGGAGGTCCCTCTAGCTGAGATCCTCAAAAATGTTCAAATTGTTATCTGCCCCCAGTGCTTCCATGGTTCCTGGATTGATCAGTAGCTGTTAAATTTCCTGCCACATCTACAATTAGAATATCTCAGTAATATGTGATAGCACCAAACACACAAAAGCTTATTCTCTTCAATTCAGCCATTACATCTTAGATAAATTTTTGTGCTTTTTCCAAAAAAGATACATACAAGGATGTTCTTTTTTCTTTTCTTTCTTTCTTTTTTTTTTTTTTTTTAATTAATGTCAGAGGCAGAATTTAGTGCTTCATCAGTTACATATAACACCCAGGACTCATTCCACTCAGTGCCCTCCTTAACAAACCCTCAGTTTGTTTCCTAGAGTTCAGCGCCTCTTCCGGTGTGCCTCCCTCTGAATTTTCACCTTATTTTGTTTTTCTTTCCCAAGTGCAAGCGTGTTCTTAGTAACCATGCACCAGAAATAAAAATTGGAAACAACCTGAATGTCTATGATGAGGAAAACTTTGGGATATATTCAGACAATGAGATATTACACAGCAATGTATAACATTGTTAACGGCAAGCAGCAGAAGGACACATACAAAATGATACAATTTATGTAGCATTCATCCCATTTATACAATATGTGAGCACAGAGCTGATGCCTAGCCAGTAGATAAGCCGTACAGCCATGCCAGTGTGGTTGATTAGTAATACTGTAGTTACTAATCTAGGTGGCAAATAGAAGGGTAAATATTGTGCTATTCTTTAGATATTTTTGTATATTTCAAATATTTCATAATGAAGTTGAAATCATTGAAATAACTTTTTGTCTTTTTTTTAAGGCTCTCCTGCAGCTTAATCTATGCTACCTTCATCTTCATTATTTCCATAATGATTACAGTTATTATAACATCTACCCAAATTATAGTCATGACGGGCTTCATGGTCATATTTACACTCTTTTTCTTATATGGCTTATCTTTGGTAAGTTCATACATGTATTACCACATTCTCTGTTTTAGATCTTAGCTATCTGTAGCAAAAAATAATTTCTCTGGAGGTTACTACAGTTATTTCCTTCATGTCTAGTGTGTGTGTGTGTTTGCTTCAGAAAGTCTATGAGTGTGAGAAAATGATGTAAATAAAATTGGACCTCTCTTTTGCATAAAGGTCTGAATTAATGTATGATGCATCAAAAAGAAAAAAAATTCTGATTCTGAAAATATTTTGACTCTAAGGCTTTTCTTTTCTTTTTTTTTACTCTTATTTATTTATTTATTTATCAGAGAGAGAGAGAGAGAGAGAGAGCAAGAGCACAAGCAGGCAGGCAGAGGCAGAGAGAGAAGCAGACTCCCCACTGAGCAAGGAGCCCAATGCAGGACTTGACCCCAGGACCCTGGGATCATGACCGGAGCTGAAAGCAGCAGCTTAACCAACTAAGCCACCCAGGTGTCCCAACTCTAAGGCTTTTCTAGAATATTTTAGTGAGGATGCCCTTGAGGGGTGGACCCATCTCCTTTCCCCAAAGTTCTCTGTAACGTGGTGGCTTTCACAGTTTCTCCCTCTGACACTCCCCCTTGTCCTCACTCCCCATGTCATGCCTCTTCCTTCTTCTAAAACAGGAGCCTCTAAATTCTGCAGATGGTACATAGATGCTCTTTGTTAATACATTAATGTAGGTTCTCTCAATGTTTCCAGGTCTGCATTTCTATTCTTTCCCCAACTCTCAGACAGCTTTTCCCCTGCCCTTTCTTTAACAACAAAAGCCCAGTAGCTGAGGAGGGCAAAAAAGGATTCTCTTTACAAAAGCATTGAGGCAAGAGCTGATCATTGTTATACATAAATATTTTCATCACTGTCTCACTGATAAATACTTGTGATGTAAAGATCCAGGTTTTTTTGTGCTGCCAATTCTCGGTGAACTAAATCTGTTGAACGCCCAGATTATCTTCTCTCTCTCTTTCAGATTGCTCTAACGTTCCTGATGAGTGTGTTGTTAAAGAAAACTCTCCTCACCAATTTGGTTATGTTTCTCCTCAATATCTTTTGTGGGGGTGTGGGATTCACTGTGTATTATAGACAACTTCCTTCCTCTCTGGAGTGGATTTTGAGTTTTTGTAGCCCTTTTGCCTTCACTGCTGGAATGAGTAAGGTAAGAACATAGTTAATTTGTTTATTACTGAACTTTCAAAAGAATTTGCTATTTCATGACTCTTCACAAACATTTTCAAAATAAGAGCATTTATTCTAAACAGTTTTTTTTCCCCTAAAGCTAGATTTGAAAATGTTATCATTGCATTATAGAAAAATCATCATCATACCAGGAAACTTGATTAAAACATCTTGACTAAGACAGATTTTCACGTCTTGGGTGTATTTTCATTTTGAAGTATTCTCTTCTTATATTTCATATGCAACTGTTTCCCTTCCCTTGTACTTTACATAACAAAGGCATTCTCTAGTTTATTAAAAATTGTTGTGTAAACCTCTGTTTGAAACCTAAAATCTGAGAAGTTTTCAGGACTATCAAGAGCTTAACAAATAATTATTAAGTATATCAAAATAATCATGAACCAGATCAAGAAGTAGACGGATGCCACAATGTCAAGTCTCCAAACACTCCTTCCTCTTAAAGATAAAAGTGTTGTGATCATCACTTCTTGCCTTTTCATTTATCGCCTAATGTGTGTTTCTGAGTATAATTTTTTAGTGTTGCCTGTTTTCAACTTTATGTAAGTGCTACTCTATGAAGTGTTTTTTGTTGTTTTTTTGTTTTTTGTTTTTTTTTTAGATCTGGCTTTTTTCCCATTCAGCGTTGTGTTTTCAGATCTTACCCACAGTTGGAGTGTCGCTGTAGCAGAGTGTCATGCAGTATTCAGTTGTGTGACTGTGCTATTGATTTTCTTATTGATGAACAAAAATATTTTCCAGTTTTTGACTAATATTAGTTCTGCAAAAAAAAATTCCTACACATGTTTCCTAGTGAATATGGGCATTCAATGCTCTTTGGTATCTATGTAGGAGTTGAATAGCAGGACTTAGGATATGTGTATCTTAATCATCATAGCTACTGCCAAATAGTTTTCCAAAGTGATTGCATCAATTTACTTTTGCACCAAGATTTCAGAGTTACACATGTTTACTGGCATTTGGTATTGTCAGTTGTCCAAATTTTAGCCTTTCCGGTAGATCTGCGGGAATAAACTTTGTGGTATTAATTTGCATTTTCCTGATTTTTTAATGAAATTTAATTCTCTTTCATGTGTGTAGAGGTATTTTGGGGTTTTTCTATTTTATAAAGTGCCTATCCGGGTCTTGCCCCCATTTTTTAAAAAAGATTTTGTATTTATTCACTTGAGAGAGAGAAAGAGCAAGAGTAAGAACATGAGGCGGGGGGAGGGGCAGAGGGAGAAGCAGACTCCCTGCTGAGCTCACGGGGATGGAAACCTGAACCAAAAGCAGACATTTCACCAGCTAAGGCATCCAGGTTCCCTTTTCCCCCATTTTTTACCTAACTTTTTTTAATCTTTTCCTCATTACTTTGTAGGAATTTCTTATATATACTGCATATGAGACATTTTTCAGTTTCTCATTGCTGACATTTTTACTCTTTTAATGGTGTTTTAATGAACAGGTTTCTTAATTTTGATAAAGTCCGGTTTGTCAAGTTTTCTTCTCTGTAGAGTGTTTTTGTACTTTTAAGAAATCATTGCAATCCCCAAGATTATAAAGATATTCCCCCATTTTTATATGAAAGCTCAGTTGATTAGGCTTTTATATTCAGATACAAAATCTATTTCAAAATAACTTTTGTTTATCTACAGGTAGAAAGAATATTAATTTTTCTACATGAATATCCAATTTCTCCTATTTCATTTATTGAAAAGGCATTCTTTCCCTGAATGGATTGCAGTATTTCCTTTGTCACAGCTCAGCCAATCATGTATTGACCTGTCTATCCTTGCTCTGTTGCCACATTGTCTTAATTGCTTTTACTGATCTGTCTTGATATCTGGTAGTAATAATTTTACCACTTGATTTTCTTTTCTAAGAAAGTCTTTTCTATTCTAGGTTCTTTGAATGATGTAAATTTTAGAATTAACTTATCAAGTTATACACACACCTATTTATGTGTGCACAAAGCTGTTGACATTTTGGTACAGTTGAATTTTTCAATCAATTTGAGGGAAATGGACACTTTTTAAAGAAATTTAGTTTTTTATTTAAGAGAAAGAGAGAACGTGAGAGAGAAAGGAAGAGAGCACTTGCAGCAGGGAGGGGTAGAGGGAAAGAGAGAATCTCATGCAGACTCCCCACTGAGCATGGAGTCGATCTCAGGAGTGGATCTCATGACTCTGAGATCATAACCTGAGCTGAAATCAAGAGCTGGACATTTAACTGACTGAGCCACCCTGGCACCCTGACACTTCTTTTTGATCATGAACATAAGATATCTTCACATTCATTTTCACTTAGTAATTGTTTTAATTTTAAGTATTGAGCCTTGCACATTTTTTATATATTCCAAAGCTTCTGATACTTTTGATGCCATTATAAATAGTATGTGTGTTTAAATTATTATTTTTAAATGTTTGTTAATGTAGAGATACAACTGATTTCTGTAAAAAACAGAAATCACTGTATCCAGTATTCTTGCTATATTCTTTTATTAAAACTAGTATTTTTCTGAGCTTTATTTTGGGATTTTCTTACATATAGTCATGATGTCTACAAATAAGGATAGTTTTTTCCTTTTTGCAGTTCTTATGCCACTTACTTTTTTTTTTTTTTTTTTTGGTCTTATCATGGAGACTGGGACCTTTAGTACAATGTTGAATAGAAATGAAAGCAAAGGAAAAGCTTTTAACATTTCATAATAAGCATGACTTTTGATGTCGGTCTTTGTACATCTGTTTTACCAGGTTAAAGAAGATTGCTTATTTCTTAGTTTGTGAAGAGACTTTTTTCATTATAAGTGGATATTAAATTGTGTCAAATGATTTTTGTGCATGTTCAACGATTAACCACATTAGTGTCTCCTTCAATCTGTTTTATGTTGAATTACATAGATTGATCTTAAAATTCCAACCCAGACTTGTGTTCCCAGAATAAACTCAAATTTGTCATTGAATGTTAAGATTTTAACATAAATAGGGTTGTATATTGTCTAGTGCGAGGAACTAAGCTTGAGAGCTGGACTTCCTTTGTTCTGAGTTCACCTTTGCTGCTCCTTACTATGTAATTTTGACTTTCGTTGTTTAAGCTACTCAATTTCTATTTGCTTCACTTCCACCATATGTAAAATGCACATAAAAATAAGATTTCCCCCAGGGGGTTATGATGAGGATTAAGTGAAGTATTATAAAAAGCCTTAGAATAATACCTAGAGTGCAACGCCTATGGTTACATGACAGAATTATAAACATACCTTTATTTGCAGTAATAACTAGAAAAAGAAGTTTTCTTATCATTATCCTACTAAGATGCTTCAAATAATTCTTCATATTCTTTCTAAAATGACTATTTTTTGCTGCATAGATATTTTGCAATATTGCAATGACTTTATGATTATCATTTAATTTAATTTAAATTCCTATTCTTAGTGGCACCTGGTTGCTCAGTCCCTTAAGTGTCTGTCTTCAGCTCAGGTCATGATTCCCAGGGTCCTGGGATCAAGCCCCGTGTTGGGCTCCCTCCTCAGTGGGGAGTCTACTTCTCTCTCTGCCTTCCCTTCCTCCTGCTTGTGCTCCCTCTCTGTAATAAATAAATAAAATCTTTAAAAAATATTCCTATTCTTAGAATGTTGCATTTTTTAAGTTGGTATTAAGTTGGTACTTCATTCTAATAATCCTTGGATTGCTGTCATATAGAAATAGTTACACTAAGAACTTCATTATAAGGGCTTCTCAAAAAAGCTACTTAATAAAATGATAATTCTTGCTGCTATGCCAAATTATTATATTATAATATTTATTTATCTTAAATATTTACTAATTACTATTTTTGTCCAAATTTTAGATTATCTACTTGGATAATACTATGAATGGTATAATTTTTCCTGACCTTTCAGGAGACTCGTATGTAATGATCGCAACTTTTTCCATTTTGGCTTTTGATGCACTTTTCTACTTGGCATTGGCATTATACTTTGACAAAATCTTACCCTGTAAGTAAAGGTGTCTTTTCTCTGACTCCTGCACATACTGATCACATCGTATATTTTTTACTGAAGGTTATATAAATGTATATTAAGAAATAAAGAATAACAAATTTTTCCCATCACAAGCTGAATGAGTTCTTAATTTCTCCTTCAGAGTTTTAATGGTTTGAATTTAAATGTAAAAACAATTATTCTTCTGGTTTTAATAATATACATTACAAATACACAGTAATTAAATAATGTTAATTTTTTTTTCAAGAATCCCAGAACATGTTTTTAAAGAAAGATATTTAAGACTTTTTTTTAGAACAGGCTGAAATAAATTAGTTCTTAACACGACTTTGGCTAGTGTAGAGCCATTGTACAGTGAAAGTGTTTCTTATTAAATAGTTCTTGGGGCACTTGGGTGGCTCAGTCAGTTGCGTGTCTGACTCTTGGTTTCAGCTCAGGTCTTGATCTCAGAGTTGTGGGATCCAGCCTGGTGTCAGGCTCCCTGCTCAGCGGGAAGTCTGCTTAAGATTCTCTCCCTCTGTTCTTGCCCCCTCCCTGTGCTCTATCTCTCTAATAAATTAATAAATCTTTAAAAAAAAATAGTTCCGACAAGAATGTGGGGCCGATTGTAAACTAAATAGCTAGAAAGGGCCTCAGATGTGAAATAATCAGGTTCTCACTGATTCCCCTTGGGAGGACCATTTCAGAAGGGGAGATGTCCATCCTTTAAGGAAATAACAACATAAAAATTAGAATATTTTCAGCATTATTCTGAAACTTTTTTATATGTTGTCCATATTTACAAAACTACGTTACTCCGTTAAATTTTCTCTATCTCACAAACAAAAATTTCCCAAGTCCAGAATTCCTTCACATGTGCTAGAATCAGAATGCCGTTTTTCCTTGCAAATCTTATTTATTTATCTTATTTTTTATGTTCTTTCCGCTTTGTAGTTAAAGCTGTCTTATATGTTTTTATGCAATTATTTTATATATCCCTATCTTTCTGTGACTTCTGGTAAAGTCCTTAGTGACAAACCCCACTTCATTGTTTCAAATTTGGAAAATGCAAATATATTTTTCCTGAACAGATACAATTTCTCCCTGTACTTTGCACTCACATACCATGGGAATTTCAGTATGATATTCAACCCTACTGTTGTGATCAAGTGATTTTTTTTTAATTTTAAAATTTAATTTAATTTTTTTCATTGTTCCAAGATTCCTTGTTTATGCACCACACCCAGGGCTCCATGCAATACGTGCCCTCCTTAATACCCACCACCAGGCCCACCCAAGCCCCCAACTCTTCTCCCCTCCAAAACCGTCAGTTTGCATCTCAGAATCCACAGTCTCTAATGCTTTGTGATTTCTTTTTTTCTTTTCTTTCTTTTTCTTGCTTTTTCTTTGAGAGAAAACGCCATGAGTGAGGGGAGGGGCAACAGTCAAGATAAAATCTTAAGCAGGCTTTATGCTCAGGGCAGAGGCTGATGAGGCACTGGATGTCACCACCCTGAGATCATGAGCTCAGCCCAAATCAAGAACCAACCATGTACCCCTGTGGTCAAGTGATTTAAGTTCACAAACATGTTTTAGTTGTTTTTATGTGCTGTGTAAGGACTCTTCCCCCAAATATTTGGTTTCACTCATTCTAAATACCTTTTTATTACATTTTTTCAGAACTTTGGCTTATACATACTTTCTTGAAAGTTCTATTATACTGTTTAACTTTTGTGGTAACATATTATTTCCTTTGAATTTTCATTGTTTGCTTCACGACAAGTTTTCTTTTCAGTAATAGGAAGTAAGGAAGAAAAGAATTTCTCTATGATGCTTAAAAGTCAGATACTCTGTACAGTTCTGAATAAGTCTTCTTTACTTATTGTTCTAATGTGACTGATCCAATGTTTTATTGCCTTTTGACTGATTAGATGGGGATGAGCGCCATTATTCTCCATTATTTTTCCTGAACTCATCTTGTTTCCGACACCAGAGGACTAATAATGTCATTGAGAAAGAAATAGAGTCTGAGCCTCCTTCTGAGGACTGTTTTGAACCGGTAGCTCCAGAATTCCAAGGAAAAGAAGCCATCAGGTAATCACACTTACAGCCACATATGGGTGTAAGGCAAATGAATTATTGACCAACAGCAACTGGCTGAGCCTGGGTAAAATATTGAAGAACAAACTTGCCTTTGTGAATGTTACTTTGAACTCTTCCATGTGACCACCAATGTCTCCTGATTGCTCCTAAAAGAAAAATTATTTTTGCTTCGCTCCATATAATATTATGACATCACCCTCCGTTTTGTCTTCCTCCTTATTTCTGTGTTGATTCTCCTTTCCACAGGTGCTCTCCCCTTTATAACCAATGAGAACTTCCTCTTTCCCTAGCCAGCTGTTAGCTATATACATCTGGCAGTATAGAGGAACTCATGAAGAATTCTACCCAGAATCATTATTTTGCCTATGTAAAAATATCTATTTTTATTCACAACTGGCTCCCTCTCACCTATTAGTCCCCTTCCAATTTTTCCTTCTCTGGGGACATTTGTTTGCACAACTATCCACTCCTGTAACTTTAGCTCATTCATGCAATATTCCCAGAACATAGGCAGGATGTCTGCCCCAAACAAATGGCTATTGGCTATCTTCATCTCTGAAATCCAAAAACAACTGGTGGTTCTAATGGAAGTTTCTTTATTAAAATAAAGCCTAAAACCCCCATTTAATGGGTGTCTCCCTGTTCAAAGACAGGCAGAGATAAAACACCCTGTCAGATTCAACACCCTTTAAGTCTTTCTCTTTCGTATTTCCTGACTCTTTGGTTACCCATCCCCCACCACTGCCAGCATCCTGGTTGAATAAATTTCTTTACTTTCATTTTGATTCATGCTCAGAGAAAAGGGTGGCTCAATTCTGTTTCCCCCTGAATTTGAAGATGCACTGATCTTATGTAGTCATGACATTTCTCATCTGTCAAACCTGGTTCCTGCCTTGTCCTGCATTAGTTTCCTTTGGGATTCTAATATGCCTTCAAGTTTGGTAATCACTCATTTAGAGAACACACGTGTGATGTTCAGATGAAACCTTTAGATGTGGGAGCCTAATGCTCAGGGAAAAGGATAGGGTCAACTTTAGGTTGGTGTTAAAACCACAAGAATCAGTTAGATAACTCATCAAGAGCATCTAGAGGTGAGAAGACCAGAATGTACATGGAGAACCCTGTGGAAGACCAAGATGATGTATTTGGCAAATGAAGAGGACCTTCCAAGGAAACAGAGAAAGATGTGTTGGGATGAGCACTGGGTGTTTTATGTAACTAATGAATCATTGAGCACTATGACAAAAACTTATGCTGTACTGTATGCTGGCTAATTGAAAATAACAAGAAGAAGAAGAAGAAGAAGAAGAAGAAGAAGAAGAAGAAGAAGAGGAGGAGACATTTAGAAAGATAGAAGGTAGGAGGGAAACCAGTAAGTTCAATGTGAACTTGAATGTAGGTAACTTGAATGTAGACACTTTTAACAAGGACAGTAGACACTTTTAACAAGACCAATAGCAACTCATTATTCCATAAGTAAGGATAGAAAAAAAAGTCTTTGTTGCAATGTTGCCTCACTACTGTAATGGACTCAAAAGCCAGAGTGACTGAGAAAAAAGTGAGAAGTGAGAAGGTAGATGTGGCAAATTTATTTTGTCTTATTTTGTAAAATGTTTTACAATAAGGGGAGGAGCGAAATCTGATTGTATCCAAAGCAGAGTTATAGGCCAAAGAGAAGCTATCAGAGAGGGAACTATAGAAAATGCAGGTGACAGAGGGTCTGATTAATGAGCAAGTTTGGAGGGAATGGGAGAGGGTGGGAGGGGATAGTTAAAGAGTGCAGATAAATGAACTGATCTTGCACAGGGTAAAACACATCAAATATTCTAAGGCTAGAGGAAGAAAGTAAGAATAATTCCAAAATGTTCTCCTTTTCTAAGCAAAATACTAATCATTTAATTGAACTTTTCAAAAAGACTCTTTTATTTTCTCTCTGAGGGGAAATGATTAATCAAAAATAATCTTTGTCTTTCTGAGTAGTCTGGATATGCCATCCCTTATTTCACATAAAGACGTTGATGTATCTGTCACTTTAACTGGGGTTGTTCCTGATCCCTACTTATTTCTGTGTTAGCTGAGTAAACACCACTTCTGTCGTTTCAGAATCAGAAATGTTAAAAAAGAATATACCAGCAAGTCTGGGAAAATAGAAGCATTGAAAGGTAAAGACAAACATTTCATTGTTTCATTGACTTCTTTATTACAAAAAATGGAGGAAGTTCCATGTGAAAACAGAAAAAGAAAACAATCCAAACTATATAACTCTGCCCCTTGGAGATTAATGATTAAGATCTGGCTATAAATGCTTCTAGATTTTCATGCATCTATCAATTTCCAAGAATGGGGTGACACAATGAAAAGTGTGAGTTCACTTTGTTTTTAAAGATGAGCTTGCTAAAAACCATATTGTGTTTTATTTGCACTATGAGGAAAGAATGTTTAGCCTTAAATTTGATAATTTTTTATACCACCCAGGGAATATACATAGTTTCTATGTACTGGTGAGATTAACTAAAAGAGATGAGTAACACCATAGACTGTGAATTATATTTCTTAAGTCACTATCCCCAGGGAAAACAAAGTTATAATTTTGAATCAGCCAATGTATCTGATAGTAAATTCTAACAAATAGAGTTTTCTATAGTAAACATTTAAGTAAACCTCCAAGTTAGTGGCTACATTTTGTAGAGGACAGCTTGCTTTTATTAATAATAGTTTTTAGGGAGAATGTAATTGAATTTTACAAGAGATGGAAGCCTTAAAAGTTACAAAAGAAGAGCCATGGAACTCCCCTAAGGTTGAGAGTTGTCTATCCGATGCGTGTATCGCACATTTACTTTCTGGAAGAGAGTGCCCCTTAACTCAGACCTTATATAGTCCTCTGAGATCATTTCTCACTTTGAGAGTTTCCTGTACCCTCGTCAGCAAATTGCTTCTCACCTCAGGTTTGTCCCCTCCAATGCCATCTAGATCGGTGGTTTCTTTCTTTAATTTTAGCCAAGGATATATTGAAGTCTTTTTTAAATTTGTCATTTCAATTTCCAGAGCACATGATGCACTACTTCTGTACTCATCAATAACCATGAACTACTTTTTACATCTAGACATCTTCCAAAAAACTTTTAAAGTGAAAACCAGTGGGGGTGCCTGGGTGGTTCCGTGGATTAAGCCTCTGCCTTCAGCTCAGGTCATGATCCTGGGGTCCTGGGATCGAGCCCTGCATCGGGCTCCCTGCTGGGCGGGGATCCTGCTTCCCCTTCCCCCTCTGTCTGCCTCTCTGCCTACTTGTGATCTCTGTCTATCAAAAAATAAATAAAATCTCAAAAAAAAAAAAGAAAGAAAGAAAAAAGAAAACCAATGAATATTAGTGCATGGAAAACCATATGAAATCACCAGTTACATTTGCTCTTTGGGAAGTAAGGGGGGAGCTGTACTCTCTCCATCTTTTCCCCACGCAGCTAGCTCCTGTAGCAGCTTTGGAACACCTTTGGGAACACACTTTGAAGTCCTTACCTACAGCCTTTCAGTGGCTGACAGGATTCTGTTGTATGGCTGTCTTGACTTACTTACAGTCATGTACACAGTTTGGCTTGTTTCCAATTATTCATTATCATAAAAAAATTCTATAATGAGCCTTCTTGTTCAATCTTTGTAAATATAATTTCTGAATATAAATATCTAAGAGCAGATTACTCAAAAGGACTATATATTTAACCTCCTTATTCATATTTCAAATCATTTCCCTTCAAGCTTACAAAAATTTATATACTTGTGGGAATAGCAATAATTAAAAATAACAACAATAATAATACCAACAAACACTTTAAGTTTATTGAGTTCTTAGTGTGTTCTGGCAACTATGATAAGTGATTTTTTTCATTTAATCCTATGAGATACATAGTATCTCTCCCATTTTGCAGATGAAGAAGCTGAGGGTTATATTTATTTTTTTCTGATTAATATAGATTAGTTCCAAGATAGATATCATCAGTTTTCTCTCACCCTGGAAAACACCATTTTTTTTCCATTTAAAAACAGTAAATATAAAATTTACTGATGTGTTTATTTAGTTATCCCAATATTATTTGTTAATTAATTCATCTTTTTGATAAATTTAAAAGACTCTTTCATTTATCTTTATTTTTTATGTTTACTTTGCTCCATCTTGGGCTTCTTATGCCTTCCATCAGTCAGTGTATTCTGGAGTAGTAACATTATTTTAATTATGATATTTATTCCACTGGTTACTGTATTACTAACATATTATTTTAATTATAATAGTTCTCCAAAATTTTTTTAAAGATTTTATTTATTTGAGAGAGAGAGAGTGAGCAAGTGAGAAGGGGGTCAGAGGGAAAGGGAAAAGCAGACTCCCCGCTGAGCAGGGAGCCCAACTCAGGGCTTGATCCCAGGTCTGTAGGATCATGACCTCAGCTGAAGGCAGATGTCCAACCAACTGAGCCACCCAGGCTCCCACTTCTCCAACATATTTTAATACCACGTAGTCAAGAGTAGTATCTTGCTATTCTTTAACTTTTTGTAATTATTTGAACTTATTTTTCTAATTTTTTAAAGATTATTTTAGTCAAATTATAAGTGAAAGTTTTAATGGATTGGATTACAGTAGGAAAAATTTTCTCTTTAAATGTAATTATTATTACCAGCACTTTAATAGCTGAGTAAAGTGAACTTTGCAGTGTTTAGTTTATCCAAGATCACCCAGTTAGAAAATGGATGAACTGGAATTCATCCCAGTTGTTAATTAATTTCAATAATGTTTGAAAGTAGGTCACATAATTTAATTGAAGGAACCTGATCTCTCAGATATAACGTATTATAAAATTCTTAAGAATTTCATCCAACAACTTTTCATAACAGAGTTTGGTTTTCACTTGATGGTAAACAAAACAAAAAATAATAAAGGATTTTTTATAGATAAATAATTTTTATTTAGATAAATAATTTTTTCTACTGCCCTGTAAAGGCAAAATGTTTGTAATAAAAGAATAGAACATTTATAACAGGTGAAAATATACATTTTTGGTGAATATATTTTAAAAGGTAATTAATGCCATGAAAAATGTTCATCATTTAACATTTGAAAATGTAAGCTAGGAAAGAAAGAGTATGATAAAAATCCATATACATATATATTTACATGTATATATATATTACATGTATATACATATATATTACATGTTCATATATGCAAACCTGTATACACTGGAAGTAAGTGTATTAAATGTTAATACTTGAAATTACAGTTAAGTTTATCTTCTTAAGTGGTTGTATTTATTTCAGAAATATTCTACAATAACTATTACATTTTTAGCAGCCAGCAAAATATTGGATATTATATGTTTTAAGCTTGAGAATATATAGCGAAATAAATTTTTTGTTCTGCTTTTGGAACCAGCTCTTTCTAATGCCCTCTTATTTATAATGTTAACATTTTATTTTAAAAACAGACTTGCTCTTTGACATATATGAAGGTCAAATCACAGCAATTCTGGGTCATAGCGGAGCTGGCAAATCTTCATTGCTAAACATCCTTAATGGGTTGTCTGTTCCTACAGAAGGTGAGCAAAAAGAAATTTCTCAAAGGCAAGGTGTCTAGAGGTCATGTGTTGCCTTTCTTATTTTAAGGTGAAAGTGCTTAAGAGAAAATAATGTTTCTTTATCTAATATCGTTTACCAGACTATAGAATTTTGACTGTACTTTATATTTCACAAATTTTTATGAAAATCATTAGCCTTATCCCATTGCTATGTGATATTCCAGAGAAAATATATGCTACCCTGAACGTAGATATGTTAAGATTTATTCATAGTTGTTAATAAATGGTGAAGTCATTATTTTAGATATTTGTGAATATATGCCAATATTTTCCTGAATAAGATCTCTAAGTATTAATAAAATGTATTATCTTGCCCATGTTAAATTATTCTCAACTTGTATTTTTAGGATCAGTTATCATCTATAATAAAAATCTCTCTGAAATGCAAGACTTGGAGGAAATCAGAAAGATAACTGGTGTTTGTCCTCAATTCAATGTTCAATTTGACATACTCACTGTGAAGGAAAACCTCAGGCTGTTTGCTAAAATAAAAGGGATTCAGCCACAGGAGGTGGAACAAGAGGTAAATGCTCATGCTTAGATTAATAAGCTAAATTTGCCAAGTTAAATCATGACCTAATCAGAATTTGCCTTAGTGATTTACCTGCCCTGTTATGAATACAACTTTGGCAGTGAGGTCCTTTAATAACTACCTGGTGTAACAGATAGTTAAAATTGTATCGTATGAATCGCCTTGGATTTTAAGCTTTGTGTATTTTCTTGCATAGGTACAAAGAATTTTATTAGAATTGAACATACAAAACATTCAGGATAACCTTGCTAAACATTTAAGTGAAGGACAGAAAAGAAAGCTGACTTTTGGGATTGCCATTTTAGGAGATCCTCAAGTAAGTGAGATTCTGCATGCTTTGGAATACAGAGTGATTAGTAAAACATCAAGCTCTTCTTTTAACCTGAAACGTGGTAGAGATTTCATTTCAATGCATCAAGAGAGAATCTGCTGTAAAACTACAGATATAAGTATATCGGACCTAAATGGCTGGATAGTTACCATTTGTTATCCATGCTGCCCTGTGGGAAGAGTCAATGTGAGAAAGCTACATTTTATACATTATCATCCTCTGTAGATTTTGCTATTAGATGAACCAACTGCTGGGTTGGATCCCTTTTCAAGGCATCGAGTGTGGAGTTTCCTCAAGGAACACAAAGCAGGCCGTGTAATCCTCTTGAGTACCAATCTCATGGACGAAGCTGACATCCTGGCTGGTAATTATTGGTTTTATCTCAGTTTTGTAATAAAGAAATTGGGAAATGTGTATTTCTAAAATAAGCACTGTGTTCCCATGACTTTCATGTGTCTTTCATTTCAAAGCAGTCTGGGGAATGGCAAGTCTAATCCCCCTCTAGAATTCCTCACTGGCTGTACATTTGCTGGATTATAGCCGCTAATAAAAAATTATAGGGTTTTATTTTTTAGCTTTCAATTAATTTAAGCATTGAAATCAGTATACGGTTGAAAAATAACCACTTATTCTTTAGAATATGGAGTGGAAGATGTGGCAATGTAATTTCTGTGTTTTGGTTTTTTTTTTTCAAGAAATTTTGGAGGGCACAGAAATAGACTGGAACTCATAAGCTTATTTTAAATGCATCAGTTTTAATGTGTGTTTCAAAAATTTTAATGTATGTTAGATACATTTATTTTCTTTTTTCCTTTTTTTTTTTTTAAAGATTTTAGTTATTTATTTGACAGAGAGAGATCACAAGTAGGCAGAGAGGCAGGCAGAGAGAGAGGAAGGGAAGAAGGCTCCCCACTAAGCAGAGAGCCCGATGCGGGGCTCGATCCCAGGACCCTGAGAGCATGACCTGAGCTGAAGGCAGAGGCTTTAACCCACTGAGCCACCCAGGCACCCCTAGATACATTTATTTTCTATAGAGCACTTCTCTTTTGGAAATCTGAGCATTGACTCCTCACCTATATTTTCTAGAGAGTGAAGAAATGACTACCATCAACTTTTCTTTCTTGCTTCCTTTTAATCAGATAGAAAAGTGATCATGTCCAATGGGAGACTGAAGTGTGCAGGGTCTTCTGTCTTTTTAAAGAGAAGATGGGGTCTTGGATATCACTTAAGGTAAAGACTTTGGGGATGTATGTGTGTGTGTGTACGTGCACACATGTGTGTGTGTGTGTGTATACATATATATGCTTTCTTTTTTAAAAGATTTTATTTGTTTATTTGAGAGAGAGAGAGAGAGAAAGTGCATGAGTGGAGGGTGGCGAGGGGCAGGGGGAGAGGGAGAAGCATGCTCTCGGCTGATCAGGGAGCTGGATGTAGGACTCAATCCCAGGACCCCAGTATCACAACCTGAGTAGAAGGCAGATGCTTAGCCTACTGAGCCACCCAGGCACCCAATGTTTTCAATACTGGAATTTCAAAAAGGCAGACAATTATGAGGGACAGTTGACTTTATGCTTCATCTTTGCCAAACTCTTGGCTAGGGTTTCCCAGATGTTTTTCCTGCCTCCTTGTATCTTTGTTAATGCTAATGACAAGCAGAATGTCCAAGTTCTAAGCCTAGGCTCACAGATCCCAGCAAGTCTACTTCATGGACCACTTTTGCAGGTACCTGCTCTGTGCATCCTCAGTCTCTCTCTTCTTCCCACTGTCCGTCTCCCTCAGCTGATCCATACAGTCTTGTAACATATTTTCATTCTTGCATTGGGCACAAAATCAAATAATTTCAGAGGCTAGTATCAAAAGTAGGAGAGAGTTAAGAGCACTGTAGCTAATAAGAAAGTGTGTGCAGGTGAAAAGTATTTTAAAAAACCCAAACCAAAAACCCTATGGCCAAACAAAATGTGCATATAGGCCAAACTTCCCTATTAGTCACTAATTCCTGATATCCACACAATCTGGTGTAATTACTTTCCCTAAGCAATTTCTTCTGCCTAATGTTCTTGCCTTGCTCTATTTATCTCCCTATTTGAAAGACAGTCTCCCTTCCAGCATGCATGTGTTTGTATATTTGTAGTTGTTCTGAATTTATGCAACTCCTCTGTATAGATCATAAGATTTTCCAAACTGATGGTATTATTATTATTACTTCTGTTGTTGTTGTTATTTACTCATTTTGTTTGTTCCCTAAAGGCAGGTAAAGTAGTACTCAAAGGTTAGGTATTCAATAAAAGCCCTGCTTTTGTAATAGCAGTAGAGAAAATATAAATCAATGATCTTTTCTTTTAAATATTAGCTTGTACAGAAATGAAGTATGTGATCCAGAAAAAATAACATCCTTCATTAATCATTACATCCCTGATGCTAAATTAAAAACAGAAAACAAAGAAAAGCTTGTGTATACTTTGCCCATGGAAAGGACAAATAAATTTCCAGGTAACTGAAATACGATTACGATGGCATGAAATTTGGGAGCAAGTGTTCACCTCATTATTACAGCTTTCATTACTTAATGGATTTGGATTTTGTCTTAGGTTGGGTTCTCTAAAAAGCAGAACTTGAAATGAGGACTTTAGCGCACCTTTTTTTGGTAACTGATACCTAGAAACACCAGGAGGGAATGGGGACATGAGAGTGAGAAGCAAAGGAGGCTACGGGAGTGTGCATTATTGAGCGGATGGTTGCAATATGAAATTGAGATGTAATACCATTGGAGTAAATAAGTGAATAAGTGAGCAAGGGGCTCAGAGTTATGTCACAAGAGCGGTGAGAAAGCTGGGGTATTTATTTGACACTCTCCACCCTTCATTGGTTAAGAGATGCTTTCAGGAGCATTAATCTTCTAACCCAGATGGCTTGTGCTCAATACGAGCTTGGCAAACTTCACAGCTCAGAACAAAATGCCTTCAGGCAGGGCTTAATAAGCAGATTTACTATGTATGAGTATGGAAGGGATGGGTGTGGAGCACAAGGTGTCTGCTATAGGTTCCCTTTTATATTTTAATTGTGTATATATTTATTTTGCAGAAAAAAACCCATAGTTTATTTATTCTACAAAAGTATTCACCATAGGTTCCACGTCTGCTGAGTAGCAGTCCCAACCTAGGATTTGTTTGATAAGTAACTGTACCAGCTAACTCTTTGTACAATGTTTACTATGAGTCAGGCACTGTTCCTAATAGTTTCCTATACATCAATTCATTTAGTCTTACAACCACTCTATGTGGTAGGTGCTATAGTCTTCCCTGCCTCACAAATGAGGAAATATATGTCTTTTTTGTTATAAAAATGTTCTTTTTTATCTAAACATTGGGTTTATTAAAGGTTTAACTCTCTGCAGCCCTAATTTAAAAGAGGCTCATTTGGATGATTCAATCTTATTAAGCAACTACTCAGGGATTCAGATTTAGTCTGACCCCCAAATAAGGCAGCTCTCTGTGCCCTTCAGGAGCTGCAAGATGGTGTTCTCAAATCCATAGGCTATACCGTGTTATTCTCTCCAATGAGCTACAACTAGGCTTCTTTTTTCATTTGGGGAAGGAAAATAATGAGTTATATGTTGATACCACTATAAGAACATGTCCCACCAGAATTCCTGGTGTTAATGTTTTGGTCTATGGCAGTCTCTTTATGCTGACCCTAGACCTCTGCAAGTCCAGTGGCATTCTTACATCCTATCGGAAATATGGAGGGTAATAATCAATGTTTATTGGGAACCTATTATGTAAAACTCATTGCTTGAGACACTAGTGGTATTGAGTTAAATAAGACATCTGAGTCCCTGCCCTCACCAAGGTTACATTCTGTTGGGTGGGGAGAAGTGGACACACACAATAAGCCAAGGTATATTACGATTGTATAATGCATACATTATATGTGTTGTATAATGCATACCTTATACAGAATGTATAATCCTTGTTTAGCAAGGTCATATGGTTTAGAGAGAAAACCAATGTCAGGCTATGGGTTTATATAGAGTGCCAGGAGTACAAAAGAAGAAAACGATCAAAAACATTCCAAGCAGAGGGAGGGGAAGAGATGTCTGGAGTGTAGCGAGTGCAGGAGAAGACTGGCAAGTGGGGATGGGTAAGGTTGTAGGAATAGATAGAGGTTCGAGCATACAGCTTTAGAGGCTGCTGTGTGGTGTTCAATTTTATCTTAAATGCACTGAGAAACCACTGAAAGTCATTAAATGGGGGATTGATGTGATGTGACTCACATTTTCATTTTCTGGCTATAAAAGAGCACTCTGGAGATAGAAGAAGAAGAGTAGATTCTGGGAGACCAGCCATAGGACCATTTCAGACTTACAGGTGAAAGATGAGATCATTGTGCGACCATGGTGCCCACTGAAAGATGGATGAAAAATCCAGAGGGACTTCTAGAATTTTGGCTCAAGTCACCAGGTGGAAGATGGTGTCATTTGTTATAAAATGATGAGAGAGACAGTTGGGTAGGATGGAGAAAGAGGAATTAGTGTTCTGTTTTAGAAACATTTGCTTTGAGATGCTTTTAGACTTCAAAGTGGAGATGTTAAGTGGTTAAGGATACAGTTGGTTATAGGATATTGGAAATCAGAGAATACTCAAAGTGAGGGTTGGATTTGGGAATCTTAACATACAGATGGATTTCATGCAAAGTGATTGGATTTGAATGTATGGAAAGAGAAGGTGAGCCAGGACTGAGCCCTCAGGAGAAAGTAGAGGACGAGTCAGAGAATGGTGGAAATCAAGAGCCCCCCCCCACCCATGAACTTGAAAGAAAAACAAAAGAATATGTTTGTTTTTATTAACTCAAGAGAGACAATGTTTGTAGAAGGACAAAGTTGTCAACAGTTTTGAATGTCCCTGAATGAGAGAGGGAGAAAAAGAGAGAGAGAGAGCTAAAAGAGTTTTTAAAAAGCTCTTGTCCATTGAATTTAGATTGTGGAATCGTTGATGACCTTGAGAAAAACAGTTTCTGTGGAGGGATAGAGATAGCATTTAGATTTGTGGGGGTTCAGTTGAATAGGATGCGACCAATTGAAGGGGATGAAGTAGACAAATCCTTGGGCCATGGGTGCATGTGTGTAGCAGGGGGCCCATTGGAAAGGGAGACTGGGTTTTTGCTTTTTTTGTTACTTGTGTTTGTTTACTGGATTAACTTCTAGAGCATTTTTCCTGCTGTTTGGGATGGCCTGGTACATGTAGGAGAAATTGATGACACAGGCCAGAGAAGGGCAGGAGAGATTAATTTAGAAGGTTCTTGAGGTACCTGATTGGAACAGGATTCAGAACACAAGTCAAAGAGGTAGACTTTGGTGGGAGCAGCTCTAAGTTGTCCACCCATACAGAACCAAAACCCAGAATACGGGTAGAAATTAACATTGATTTGTGTGGAGGTGAGAAGATGATGTTCTTTCTGATTGTTCATCTTTCCTTAAAGAAGTAAGTGTTCTGGAAGTTCATGAGTTGGGAATATAAAATAGAGTATAGATGGTTTGAGGGTAGAGAGGAAAGTTCTGACATTCAATTCAGAGAAGAAGAACATTCTAATAAAATTTTGCTTTTGCTTACTGTGATACTCCAAAGACATGTATTTCCTGAACAATATTCTGGATTACCTTTTAAATAAGTGTTAATTTACTGGGTTTTGTTATCAGTGTGATATTTAAAAATGTATCTGTTCTGGTCTGTTGCCTTAGACCTTTTCAGTGAGCTTGATAAGTGTTCTGGCCAGGGTGTGACGAGTTATGACATTTCCATGTCAACTCTGAATGACGTCTTCATGAAACTGGAAGGAAAATCAACTATTGGACAAGGTAAATGCATTGTATGACTGACAGACAATCAATTTTCAAATAATCATGTATTAATTTGGTATTTTATAATTCTTTATGCATGATTTACACTAAGGAGTGTGAATAATTCCAAATATGACTAATGTTGGGAAAGGTTGTATTGTTTCCTAACATCATTACTAGGACTGAACACAGATCCCTTTTTGGGATATAACAAATTTGTCCTCGCAGACTCTTTGTTTCCTAGTTCAGCAGTTTTCTCCTATCCCCAGATGCTCACTGCTTCTTGGATATTTTGAGGATGTGAAAGGCTCTCAATCAAGGTCATGAAGTCTGAGCAGATATTTCTTATAAAAATTGCTCCTAGCTTGTTAATGTAGAAAATTTCACTAAGGTCATAATGGAGAAAACACTAGGATCATCTCCTGTGTATTTTAATGGGTTGTAATAATAAGGACAATCATTTACAGAGCCTCTACCTGGAAACTTTGATCAATGTGTGGATATAGTGTATTACCTTTCTACAATAATCTTTCCAACAAAAGGCATTGGCACCATTCTATACAGGAGGAAACTAGACACTTAGGTTAAGTGATTGGTCCTAAATCATGCCACTTATAAGTTATGTATTTGGGAATCAGGTACAGGTCTGGTGACTTTAGAGCTAGTAATCATTCGCCCACATTTTGAAATTATCGACAACTTAATAGCTGACATTCAGGCATCAATGATTGACTATTTCTATGAAGAATATTTCTTGAAATCCCTCAGAATATTGTTACATATGGGACCTTTTATGCCTTTTCAAAGGCTAGGCATAACAAGGTCACCCTTTACTGAATTCTTCTTTGGGTATGAAGTTAGTTGTATTTTATCATTGAGTTTATTGAATGTGGAGATTATAAATTTAATTTGTTTCTTATATTGTCTGCTCTGTAACTATCATAAAACAACTTCTAATGTTATGAGAAAGAGAAAACTGTGATGTCCAAGGATGGCATTAATAACGTGTGTGCATGTGTGTGTGTGTAGATTTTGAACAAGCAGAGATAAGAGGCACAGAAAACCTACACGAAATAGAGCCAGCTTGCCCTTCTTTCCCTGAAATGCAGAAGGCTGCGAGTGACATGGGCCTCTGGAAAATGCAGATCCGCGCAATAGCATGGCTCCGTTTCTTAAAGTTAAAGCGTGGAAAGAAAGACCTTTTGATTCTGTGAGTATTAGAGGACTGTGCTTTCGTTAGTGAGTTTCAAGGGAGGGTTCAACCAGAAGAGAATTTAAAATTAGAACATACTACCCAACATTCTTGCCAGAAGATGGGTAAATACAACATCTCATTTTACTAACAGTAGGAATGTTTGGGTGGTAGCATTTAGTTAGCTTTATCAACAGGGCTGCTTAGTTTTCATGGTTTGATCGCCTGGTGTTTATATAGCCTTGCCTTTGGTACTGTGTGGGGTGTGAGGGCCTGATTTTCAAAATTGCAGCACCTATAATTATGGCCGGCATAGACTGTGTAAAGTCTGATGATCAATAAAATTGCTACAGATTAATGTGGTTATTTTCTCTTTATTGGTAGACTCTTGGTATTTGGGATTGCAATGTTCCCTTTGATTGTGGAAAAGATAATTTATGCCCTATTAATTCAAAAGAGTGATTGGGAATTTAAATCTGAACTGTATTTCCTCTCTCCTGGACAACCTCCAGAAGACCCCCGTACCAGCCTGTTGATCATCAATAACACAGGTGAAGAGAAAAACAAAATTGTAATCCAGAAATAAGTTATTTTTATGTAGAGGGAAAAGAAAGCAAATCATATGACAAGAAAATAATGTATTTAGGCTTCATTCATAAAAAATATTAATAGAAAATATTTAAGGAAAATAGGGGAGGTATGGTGTATAGTTCTGATTCTGGAGATGATGGAGATGGTGGGACAAGAGAGAAGGAGCGTGGGTTTCTATATAACCTGGTAAAAGCAGATTTTCCTATCTACCTCACCTCCCTAAGCTTTTATGTGAGAGAGAAGTAAACTTGTATATTGATTGACTGAACCACTCTATTTGAGATCTCCTTGTTACAGCAGCCTAACCTGTTCCATAAATATTACACACAAATAATAGATATAATAATAATAATAATAGATATTATAAATAATATTATATACAAATGTTATATGATTGACATATGAAGAAAAAATTTTTATACCCTATGCCCCTTCAACAGGACCTAGGAAGATTCCTTAGGACAATTTGATACCCATGTTCTTGTTAACCTAAATTAGGGTAGTTGGTTTTGTCTAACTCTTTAATTTTGAAGAAGCACTTGTTTCTGTCTAAGATATAAAACACATGTATATATATATATATACATATAATATATACATATTCATATATACAGACCATTAAATATTCATATACAATTGTGACTCAGGATGATGGATTCTCCTCTTTATACAAAGGTGGTCTTTTAATTTTTGCCTTCATTCTTTTCTATTTGGGTTTTAGAAAGTAAGTTTTATATTATTATATATATAGATATAGATAAATAGATATTATACCTATTTATATATATATATAAATAG